CCTATCGGTAGAACCGATTTGCTAGGGTTTGGCAGTGGCTTATGACAAGTGAAACTCGGTGGCGCCGGATAGAAAGAATCGGTATGACCGAGTTTGGCTTAGGGTTTAGGTCATATGTGGATATGGGAAAGTAGTTGAGGGTTTTGGAGCATATCACTAAGCACATGAAGCAAGAGGCTCATTAAGCAACACCTCATCCCTCCTTGATAGTATTGGCTTTTCCTAAAGACTCAATGTGATCTTGGGTCACTAAAATATAAAATGAAGAGTCTTGAGCTTTTGAGCTTGAGCCAATCCTTTGTCCTTAGCATTTTGAGGGTTCCACTTTCACATCCATGCCATGCCAATCATTGAGCTTTCCTGAAATAGTCATCTTGGAATAGCATTAGCTCAATGAGCTATATGTTGTTATGAATTACCAAAACCACCTAGGGATAGTTGCACTTTCAAACGTCCATTGATGCCCGCTTTGGTGTGGAAAATATGACAACATTGGTCCTCATCTTGTTGGTGTTGGAGTGTCAATACCTTGGAGACAACAAGAGTGTGGCTTGAATCATTGTCACAAAAGACTTGAGCATCTTCATCTTCATTCACTTGACGGTGCATGGCCATGTGCTCAAGCGCTTCCATTTCTTCTTCACTCATGGAGTCATAGGTGCCGTCATCATTTACGATCATGGTGTGTCTAGTGGGGCACTCAAATGTCATGTGGCCTTGGCCTTGGCATATGAAACATTTGATGGAACTTGTCTTGAAAGTTTCATCTGTTGGAGTAGTTGATGATGAAGCTCTTGGCTTATAGTTGCTTGTAGTAGAAGGACGACTCGAAGATGTCGAAGGTTTCTTGTAGCTTGACTTGTCACCATTGCTTGGTGAAGCTTTAGTTGAGGTAGAAGGTGTTGTCGTCCTTGAAGCTTGAGTGAATGAACCATATGCCTTGGAAGAGTACTTGGAGTAGTTGTAGTCATCTTGCGCTTGTAGCTCCACCTTGGTAGCTTGGTGCACTACTCAAGGAGGTTGGAGTATGATTGGAAAACGGCTATTTTATTGATAGTATGGTTGAGTCCATTCAAGAAGCGTGCCATAGTTTTCTACTCATCTTCCGTGACATTGGCTTGTATCATTGTGATCTCCATCTCTTTGTAGTATTCTTCAACGGACTTTGTGCCTTGCTTGACGAGTTGCAACTTCTTGAAGAGATCGAGGCTATAGTGTGTGGCAACAAAACATGCTCTCATGACCTCCTTCATTTGATTCCATGTTGTGATGGGTGGTTCACCTTTCTCTTGGCACCGCTCGATGACTTGCTCCCACCACATGAGAACATAGTCTTGGATGGCAATCTTCTTTTCCTCTTCATAGTTGTGAAGACAGAATATCTTGTCGACCTTGAATGCGCATTAGAGGTAGTCTTCGGGATCGTTGCTTCCGGAGAACTTAGGCATGTTGAACTTGAGCTTGTCGTAGCATTGCTCTTCATTGTGTTGGGCGCGATGGCAATGTCGCTCTTGTATTGGAGGAGGGTCTTCAACCGCTTGCTCCTCGTCTCCTCTTGGTTATCTTGACGCTGAGGATGTGGAATTCTTGCTCGATTCCCCATTTCGTGGTGCTCCTCAAGGCGCGCGACTTCCTCTTGTCGCTCTCGTTGGAGGTCCTCTTATTGTTCACATACACAATGGTTGCGTTCATTGACGGCATGTGTGGCATGCTCCCAAAGGTGGTTTTGCAAACCATTTCCATGGAATGGGTTTTGTGGAGCTTAATGATATTCACGATCTTGGCAGCGATGCAAACAAGCGCAAGGAAGACTTGCATCCGAAGAGTGTCGACTTGAGTGGCGTCTTCTTGATGATGACGAAGTGGAGGACGCATGGTTGACCATCAAGGAACGAAACTCTTCCATTTGTGATGATAGCTTCTCGTCAAGGTAGTCCCTTGTACGTTGTTCAGATTGTCGCAAGTCGTTGGTGAGTTGGTCGATGCGGTCGCCAAAGCTTCATTTTCTGGATGCAAAGCTCTATGTGCGTCAAATAGTTGATTCTTGGTGACGTAGTTGTTCGGCTCCTCTTCTTGCTCGTCGAAGAGTGGTTTGGTAGAAATGCTCGACCTATCCATCATCTCAAGCAAATACGTGAGTTTAAGAAAGGAAAGAACTAGACCAAAATGTACCTTATCCAATGTTGAAGATGGATCAAAGATCACACAATATAGTATTATGGAAGTAGCACAATTGGTACCAAATCTTGTCAATCTCACACCTACACAAGTAAAGCTTTTGGAGTAGCTTGGTGAGGATGGTGGCATAAAATTTATGCAATTGATAGCAAGATTCAATAATGTTGAAACAGATTCACAAATTCACAAGTGAAACAAGTAGACCAATATCAATGAGTGGCACACGGAAACACACACATGGATAGATAATTTGGGTCATGCAACCAAGAAATGAGCACAAAATGTGGAATCCATGAAAAATGCTCGTGTTGCACAACTCAAGGAAGATGTAGCACGATTGCCCAATAGGCGGATACTGATCTTGTGCACAACCTAAAAGAGACAAAACATCGACTTCTATTCCGTTTATGTTATGTCTGTATGGTTCCCCGTTAGTCTCTCACAATGATCCAAGATGATCAAATATGGAAATATGGTAGCAATGTGGCAATGCTATGGCTATTGCTTACAAGCTCTTTGTTTTTCTCTTTGCTTAAAAGCTTTTATCTCTTTGATATTTTCTTTTGCCCACTTATGCAAAATGCTCGAACCAAGATAGCAATTATGTATATGCGGGAACAATTGATAAGACAAGAGATGATACGATGATAGATGCACGCTATGATAGCTATGCGGAACATGTATCACTAGAGTGCACAAGTAATGTTGCCCAACAATACTCAAATGGCTAGTCTCGATAGGAAAGTGACGCAAAATTTGGCTCGGGATTCATAATGCAATGGCAAGGGAGATGTACAAGTGATGTTGTCGAGGTTACCGTCCTTTCTAACGGTTGGTGGTGTCAAAATGAGGGAGTGGTCGTTGTCGATGTCGAGTCCATGGCGAATTTGAGCGGTGATGATGTCGATGCCGAATCATTCCTAAGTAGCCGAAACACGTTAGGAAACAAAAAACCACAACTCAAAATCCCAATGGCAAATGTAAAATGGTGGTAGCGGAAAGCGGTCGTATGGCTATGGGTGTCAAAGGATTTTCGAAAGTGCTATGGTGGGGCTCGGAGTTGGCGATGCGGAAGTGGAGGCGGTCGCTCAAATTTTCTGTCGAAAATTTAGTTTTGACAGTGGAAGCCGGATGATTCAGGCCGCGGTCCGGATGGTCCAGGCGATGTCCGGATGATCCGGGTGTGCGTCCGGATGATCCAGGCAGGTCGTCTGCGCGGCTATGCGGTCGGGAAGAACTCCAAATCATGGATAAAAAGAAAAATCGGGGCAATTTTGGGTAGATTTTGTGGTGGAGGAGGCGGGGAATGCTAGATCCACTTGCAACACAACGAATCCATGGATCAAAATCAACAAAACATTATCAAACCAGCAAATCACAAAAAAAATGGTATCGGTCTTTTGTGGGGATTTTTGAAATTGGGGAAAACACACAAAATTAGGCTAGCAAATGGGGGTATGGACTCCAAGATGTGAATCAACCTATGCTCTTATCCAAGATGATGTACGGTGAAACCCAAGTCCATGATCTTTTCACACTTGGAGGTGGAGAAAGGAGCAAATCAACAGAAGAACACTCAATTGATACATCCAATCACACGTGTTAAATCCACATACACAAAGAGAAGACACAAGGGTTCAAATCCAACACAAGTAGGTAACAAAGGGTAGCTAGTTCATCCCAATCCTTGAAAGAGAGAGGTCTTCAATCCTAGAAGGATCTTCCCATGAAGGAGTCATGAATCCACTTGGGGGATCTTCTCACATGGAGGCCTTGATTCCATGGGAGAGGTAAGTGGATGAGCAAAGCTCTACCTCTATCTTGAGCTAAGCCTTTGCTAACCCTAAAACGTGGGCAGGGGAGGAGTATATATAGTCTATGGGTAGAGAGAGGTACATGGGCCTCGGCCAAGCCATGCACGCAGGCACTATCCAGATGATCCGGGCGTCGAGGATCCGGATGATCCGAGCAGCCGTCCGGATCGTCCAGCTGTGTTCTCGCTGTAGTTGGGCCGGATGTTCGGGTGGATCTGGATGATCCGGCTTCGTCCTGAGGCTTGTTGTACTCTTCAGGCACATTTGATGGATCGTCCGGATGAGGGTCCAGAACGTCCGGGCTTGGTCCGGATCATCCAGATGGGGGTTCGAATGATCCGGGCAAGCTCTGTCTTGCTCTGTTTCTTCATACAGGATGAAGACCTAACAAGAAAAATCCTTTTGGAAGAATCCTTTTGGATCGGGGACGAAACGTCTCTCGAGAGATTGAGGAAAAAATATCCCCTTGGTTACCTTTATTTGTTGCGTTGTTCTTGGATGCAAAATGTACCTGAATTGACCTTGGATTTGAGGGTAGTTGGTGCGAATCACATCCTGTTGGATGTTTTCATCTAGATTTCTCTTGGTTTCTCCTTGTTCCTCGTGTTTTTTCTCCTTGTTCCTTGTGTTTTGCCCTAAATCCACCTCCAAATCGTAAAGGTCAAGGTAGATATCTCGCGTACACACATTGCTTGCTTGGCTACATCTGAATGATTTCGTGGCATGATGGTCACGACATGATATACTAGTAACACAAAATTACTGCTGGTTACATGTACAATATAACAGGACGACAGAATATCACTGCTTCAACCGTCAAATACAGGGTTAAATTTAGCACATCCTAGTCAGTTAGGTCAACAATGCGGCAACTCAGAACCAATTATTGGGAAAAAGAAATAGGTTACACATCATAGCTGCAGTAACTACTTGAAACAATATTTACAATGTACAACACCAGGAGAACTGTCCTGTTAGAGCATATGATGAATGAGAGGATGACTATGCCTAATCCTCATTGTCGTAGTCCTCTACCTCATCAACCTGCACTGTCAGATGTCCAAAACTGGATGGTCCAACACCAATGCCTCCAATGGCATCTGGCATAGGCCAATCTGGCTGATGGTTGGTGCTAGCTTCTTCAACCTTTGAAATCACAGCTGGCGTCATGGCTGATGGAGCCTCCACTAGAGGATGTGAGCTTTGGGGAATACTCTCATTGCCACGGTTGGTCTCCGGAACTATCTCATCTCCTGGCAAGGGTTCACTTTGTTCAGCAAACATGCTGCTCTCATCCTCAAACTGTACATAACCAATTTCCTTTCTCTTGGTTGGAGGCCGCCCTCGCCCTCTTCCTCGACCTCTGCCTCGTCCTCTGGGACTGGTGTTCAAGCTTCTTATGGGCTGCAAAGCCAATCATGTTATCAACTTATCTGCTAAGAAAATTTAACTCTGCTGATATGTGATGGAATTGTAACTCCACCTATGTCTTCTAGGCATAGCCGGTCCCAAGCCCGGGTAAAGGAGGAGGGTTGTGATAGGCTTGGCGAGCCAACGTAAAAACTAGCCAGTCCCATAGGTATGAAACCCATTTGAGCGAGAATAGTACTAGGATGGGTGACCTCCTAGGAAGTCCTCGTGAAAGGGTTTCATATCTAAGGGTTGTGATAGGCTTGGCGAGCCAACGTAAAAACTAGCCAGTCTTTTGGGTATGAAACCCATTTGGGCGAGAGTAGTACTAGGATGGGTGACCTCCTGGGAAGTCCTCGTGAAAGGGTTTCATATCTAGCCTACCCCAACTTGTTTGGGATAAAAGGTTTCGTAAGAAGAAGATATGTGATGGAATTGTACCATTTTGCTAGATCGGGGCTCCTCATTCTCTGGGTCGCTTCCATTTGAAAATTTCCTAGAAAGTGAATTCCAATCATTAATAACATGATCATTAATAACATGATCGTTACTTATCACAATGATTCATGAGAATTTGACCATGCCAAGTCAACTTACCTTCTTCTGGGTAATCCTCTTTCATCTCCACAAGATTCACCGCCACCGAGATCTGGCACCTTGTTGACAATCTCAGTTAGGAAGTCAAAAGAGCTGTACCTCTTCACACATTGCTTTCTGAGCATCTCATAAGAAACATATAAACCATTAGTCACTAAAGGCAAAGGCACACAGTTTAAACATCTCATAAGTGGCTGTGGTTGACTTGTGTAACTAAATTTTTGACAAAAGAAAACACCATTGATGACCACAATTATCAAAGGTATCAAAAGAAGAAAAGTCTACATCATTAATCTTAGATTATAATCAAATTAGTAGCTCCAATTACAGATGAAAGTTGTAAATCATGATAAGTCAGACAAACACATGTGCTGCATATGAGCAGGCTCATCTCAGCTTCCACTCAAGTTCCATTCGGAAGGCAGACCATCTTCACAAATCTCCTATAGTTCATTACCGGAAATCATACCAGAGTAGTTTTCCACTGAAAAACATAAACCAGTTTCCAATTGGATACCAAGATGAACCTGTCCGAAACTGACCTGCTGATACATCTTGAGCCTTGACAATAATTTCCCAATGATTTTCTTGTGCTCGTCAGCTTCCGATATTCTGGTTCCTCTTTGGAGCCTTCCAGGGGAGCACTAATTGCTAGTAATTGTGTTTTGGTGGCTATGGTGGGAGAACAGGAATACACTACGAGATGACGACCAGCAGAACTCAGCTAATTCATCTAGTCACCAGACTCGCTGTCACATTAGAATCCAGAGAGCTTTTGAAGCCAAACAAGGTGCGGAGTTTGACAGCAGCAGCCATGAAAGAATTACAGATGATGAAGGGAGCTACGGATGATGCTTCCATGGAGGGTGTGGGAATAGGGATTGCTCAGGCGTCGTTATTCAAGATGAAATTGAGAGGGATGCACAGCTGTTGTTTGCTATCTGACCCAAGAGGCAAAAAATATACTTGGCTACGTGTTTTAATTAATGTATGTATGGTGTTGATTTCCTTCCCTAGTTTGAGTAATGAAACCTCTTAAAAGAATGAAAACAAAAAATAGCCTGTTTTAAATCATAATAGTCAGGTTAATAATGAAAATACAAAAGAGAAACTTTTGCCAAGAACATCAAACTGCACATGCTAAGAGTCGTCCATACAAAGGGATGGCATTTCAAGAGGTTACAGAGCTTATTTAAGCTCCAAAAGTCCAAGCAACATTAGACCACACATGTTAGGCCTGTGAGATACTTTAATTTAATGGTATTTAGTGGCGTAATATGTAAGAGACTAGAAAAACTTCAAAGCAGCAACTGGGCAGTTTCCACAAGTTAAATAGACTTAGGGCCTATTTGGATGGCCTCCGGCTCCACACCCCGCCAACTCCGAACACGGAGCCAGACCAAACGTCCCAGCTTCACAAAGCCAGCTCCGCTTTCACCCCCCAAAACTGTGGCTCACGGAGTTCTTCAAAATTACAAGGCCATGCCACCAATAGGAAAAATAATCGATTTCTCTCCTCACCCGTGAGCGAAACCGAACCAGAGCGAGTCTCCACCCGGTCTCTCTTGTCTCTCTCTCCCTGATCGCTCTTATTTCTCCCTCCCATCAGCCAAATCGGTGTCCACAACTAGGCATTGCATCTCCACAACAATGGTGGCGGCGCCGGATTCACCATCCACAATCGCAGACGGCGCTACCTCGCCCTACTCACCGTTATTACAGCCGCCACCGGCTAGATCCACCAACGGAGAGAAGGCTCGCAGCCACGGAGGATGACAGTCACGCGGCCCTTCTGGCGCTGTTCGTCAGCGGTGCGCCAGTGGGCGGCCTCGAGGATGGGCGGTGCGACGAGGGTCTTCCTTTCCCTGTTGTTCATGCTAGAGACAACGTCCTTCCCCACCGAACGGGCCAAGCCCTGGCCTTCCTTTCCCTTTTAAACGAGCCAAATCCTAACAAAATGGGCTACCAACCCATGAAGACCATTCGTCTGTACATGGTGCCAAATGTTCACCCTTCGCACGCGGAACTAGAATCAGAGGGAGTCAGGAGTTGAGAATTTGGTAGATGTTGAGGACATCCGAATGGACCCTTATAATATATGGAGATACATTGGAGAAAACCACCATATTACTAACTTTCATCTAGAAAAACATATACATCCGAATGGACCCTTATAATATATGTAAATCACATACGGCTCAAAGCTAACTCCGCCTATGTCTACTCCGCCTATGTCTTCTCGGCAATCGGCATAGCCGGTCCCAAGCCCGGGTAAAGGAGGAGGGTTGTGATAGGCTTGGCGAGCCAACATAAAAACTAGCCAGTCCCATAGGTATGAAACCCATTTGAGCGAGAGTAGTACTAGGATGGGTGACCTCCTGGGAAGTCGTCGTGAAAGGGTTTCATATCTAAGGGTTGTGATAGGCTTGGTGAGCCAACGTAAAAACTAGCCAGTCTTTTGGGTATGAAACCCATTTGGGCGAGAGTAGTACTAGGATGGGTGACCTCCTGGGAAGTCCTCGTGAAAGGGTTTCATATCTAGCCTACCCCAACTTTTTTGGGATTAAAGGCTTCGTAAGCAAGTAAGCAAGCAAGCACAGACGGCTCAAAGCTATCCATGTCTAGAAAAACATGGAGTGATACAATACATACAGCACGAAGTCATAGTAAGATTAAACAGCCATGGACATAGAATAGAACTCACAGGTGGAAGGAATTCAGTGTCTTTGCACCACTTTGAAGAGTAATTTTGTATGAGTGGTCGATCAAATCTTGCAGAAACAATTCAAGGGCTCTCGCTGCATGCAAACAATAAATTCAGAATGCCAGATACTCACTTTATATGCTTCATCATGGAATTATCTAGTGTTACAATGCACACAGCAAAAAACAGTGATGCCGCAATATCTTTAAAAGCAACAGAAGATATGGGCCAAACATAGAGATTTTAAAACAGATACTAGACACACGAAGATTCTTGCAGGACTTACAAACTAAAACAGGCACAGCCAGTGCAATTTTGCCAACATCCTCATCTGCTTGCATTATCTTTTTGATCCGTGCCTAACACAACAACATAAAATTAGTGATTGGACAAACAGCTGAAATATATAGTCCTACAGAATACAACATAACACAGAGCAAAAGAGCCACACTAGCCAACATAAGATAATGCTAAGCAAAAATAACAAAGGAAAGCTAGGTTTCAGCAACAGACATAAACAAAAACTTCCAGCCATCAGTACACACCCAAAAAATGGGTGCACGATGTCATGCTAGTTCTCTCAACAAGGAAACACAAGGCATGTTACAAGAAGTATTATTAAAATTACTATCACGCTAAAGGAACTCATACAGGGCAAAGCGGAAAGGTCTCGTGCAATTTCAAAACTTGAATGATGTCAGGCTGGTGACAATAAAACAGTGAAAATGTTCCAAACGTCCTGAAAACATTAAGGCTCGAGATTTATAGGTTGCATGTGCCAAATTTTATACTACTACACTGCTGAGCCTGTCTCAGCCTTTCCTTCTTTCTTTCTATCACTTACCACACGTGTTTGCATCTTGAGGAATCTTGCAAGCGATCGCCCATGCTACCAGCAACTTGGGCAGCAAAAGTACAGTATTAAATCGCAATTCAAGCTCGATTTACTCATCTTGTACAACGAGCAACCGAGTTACAACGAAGGAACATCGCAATGGGTTTGCTTCTTCGACACCATCTTGCACTTGCAAGATAGATCTTTTTGCCAGATCATCACAAGTTAGAGTCAGCTCCGAGTGAGTGATCAAGAATCTTTCCACTCACACAAAACCAACCGCGGTAGACTACCGAGTCCACCTCACTCCATCCATCCATCCACCACAAATGAACTCAACAAGGGGACAAAATCAATTCACTAGCGAGACAAAGCAAAAGGACGATTAGATTCCTCGCCCGGCCCACGAGCGCTTGCCCGAGAAGAACGTCAGCCCGTTCCGCGTCTCCACCCGGGCGGCGCCTCGGCGACGAAACGCACCACAAGAAGACAAACAAAGCGCCAGTCAACGGCGAGATCCACCATGCGAGGACCGAGATCCACCGAGAGCACGGACAGATCGGATCACGGGCAAGCCAGATTAGAGAGGGGCCATGGAGGAGAGGGAGAGAACGAACCGCGGGGAACCGGGTGCCCAGCTTCTTCCTCATCTTTGTCGCACCTCCGACGCCTCGTCGGGCTCGATGCCGGCAATCGTGGTCTATCTTTTGTGTATTTTCTTTTCTCGTTCTTCTTTGACGATTGGATTTCTTGTTTTGTTGTCTTTCCACCAACTTGCACCACCACGGCACGGGGCACACCGACTCGTGCCAAAAAGATATTTGCCGCGTCTCCCACTGCAAGCCCTATAATTTTCAGGCACAAGTTGTTTTTAGAGCATGAAAGGCTATTTTATTCTTTTTTTTTCCTCTAAAAAATTCTAATATTTTTGAAAAAAAATATTTGGGGAAGCCAACAAAAAGTCCTCAAGTGCAGCGAATATAGAGTAGTAGGGCGGCTGCCACAAAAAAAGAGCGGTTGCATCGCGAAACCCAATCGCTACCTTTTTCCCGCGCGCAACCGGAACGCCGCCTCTGATCGCCCGCTGGCCACAGCGTCGCCATGGCCAGCTCCTCTGACCCCCGCAGCCAACCCCGCGAAGCTCACTGCAGATCCCGCTTTCCTCGTCGTGGTCGGCGGAGCCTCCATTGCCACTCCTGCCACCAACGCCACCATGGTTGCCGCCCCTGCCCGCCACCGCTCCTTCCTCCGACTTTCTCCTCCTTGTTGTGATCCCTGCGTCGGATCCGGTCAATTCGGCATTGATCCGACCGGCCGTCGCGTTTGCCCAGCTCGATTCCTTGCTCGACGACCTGCGAGGAAGGAAGGAGGAGAGGGACCTGACACGAGTAGGAGGTCAGTGACCTACGAGAAAGGAAAGAGGAGAGGAGAGGAAGGGATGGGGAGGCACGGTGATGTAGGGCAAAACCCTAGACTTGAGATCTTTTCGCACTTGGAGGTGGGGAAAGGATGAGCATTCAAGAACACGAGAGAGAGAGAGAGAGACTCAAACAAACCCAAATCACACATCACTATGGGATCCACAAATATACAAGAACAAGTCAAAGGGGAAAGCACAAAGGTAAAGGTTCTTCTCAAATCCAAAGGAGATGAGATCTAGCATCCATGGAGGATCTTCCCATATAGGGGTCTTGCATCCCTAGATGGATCTTCCCTTATATGGGTCTTGCATCCACTAGGGGATGTTCTCGCATGGAGGTCTTGATCTCCAAGAGGAATAATGAGTATGGGCAAAGCTCTACTAATTCTCTATTATGTCTTTGCCAGCCCTATGATGGATGTAGGAGAAGGGTATATAGCCTAGGGGTGAAAGAGGGGTACATGGGCTGAAAACCGTGGGGATGTGCACATGCAGTACCGAACGCCCAGTCGTTCGCGAGTGACCGAACGTCCGGTTGGGCGCCGGACTTCCGCCATTTTCTTCTCTGGTCAGGTGGTACTTGATTTCCGGTGTTTGCCGGACGTCTGGTGGCTCGGAAGTGTTCGGATGTCCAGTGCGCATCGGACTTCCGTCAGTTTGCTTCCGGACATGTGGTACAGGATTTCTGGTGAAGACCGGACGGCCGGTTGCTGGAACTTGTCGGACGTCCGGCCGCTGTAACGTTCATCCGCTGTTGGCTTTGTGGTTGGCTATAAGTGAACGTGTCGGACGCTTGGTCCATGTAGCTTGCTAGCAATTCCTTTCCTTGCTTCTTTTGCTCCTCTTTCTTGCCTTCTTGTCTATTGCTCCTAGCTGCTCTATGGCCATCATCTTGGTACCTAATCACTAATACGTCTCCAACGTATTTATATTTTTTTTATTGTTTCATGTTATATTATATTCTTTTTGGATATTATTGGGCTTTATTATACACTTTTATATTATTTTTGGGACTAACCTATTAACCGGAGGCCCAGCCCAAAATTGTTGTTTTTTGCCTATTTCAGAGTTTCGCACAAAAATAATATCAAACGGAGTCCAAACGGAATGAAACCTTCGGAAACGTGATTTTCGGAACGAACATGATCCAGAGGACTTGGACCCTACGTCAAGACATCAACCAGGAGGCCACGAGGTAGGGAGGCGCGCCTACCCCCCTGGGCGTGCCCTCTACCCTCGTGGGCCCCCTATTGATCCATCAACGTACTCCTTCCTCCTATGTATACCTACGTACCCCCAAACTACCAGATACGGAGCCAAAACCCTAATTCCACCGCCGTAACTTTTTGTATCCACGAGATCCCATCTTGGGGCCTTTTCCGGAGCTCCGCCAGAAGGGGCATCGATCACGAAGGGCTTCTACATCAACACCATAGCCTCTCCGATAAAGTGTGAGTAGTTTACCTCAGACTTTCGGGTCCATAGTTATTAGCTATATGGCTTCTTCTCTCTTTTTGGATCTCAATACAAAGTTCTCCCCCTCTCTTGTGGAGATCTATTCGATGTAATCTTCTTTTGCAGTGTGTTTGTTGAGACCAATGAATTATGGGTTTATGATCAAGTTGATCTATGAACAATATTTGAATCTTCTCTGAATTATTTTATGTATGATTGGTTATCTTTGCAAGTCTCTTCGAATTATCAGTTTGGTTTGGCCTACTAGATTGATCTTTCTTGCAATGGGAGAAGTGCTTAGCTTTGGGTTCAATCTTGCAGTGTCCTTTCCCAATGACAGTAGGGGCAGCAAGGCACGTATTGTATTGTTGCCATCGAGGATAACAATATGGGGTTTATATCATATTGCATGAGTTTATCCCTCTACATCATGTCATCTTACTTAAAGCGTTACTCTGTTCTTATGAACTTAATACTCTAGATGCATGCTGGATAGCGGTCGATGTGTGAAGTAATAGTAGTAGATGCAGGCATGAGTCGGTCTACTTGTCTCGGACGTGATGCCTATATACATGATCATACCTAGATATTCTCATAACTATGCTCAATTCTGTCAATTGCTCAACAGTAATTTGTTTACCCACCGTGAATACTTATGCTCTTGAGAGAAGCCACTAGTGAAACATATGGCCCCCGAGTCTATTTTCCATCATATTAATCTTTCAACACTTAGTTATTTTTATTGTCTTTTATTTTACTTTGCATCTTTATCATAAAAAATACCAAAAATATCATCTTATCATATATATCAGATCTAACTCTCGTAAGTGACCGTGTAGGGATTGACAACCCTTTATCGCGTTGGTTGTGAGGATTTATTTGTTTGTGTAGGTGAGAGGGACTCGTGCGTGGCCTCCTACTGGATTGATACCTTGGTTCTCAAAACCTGAGAGAAATACTTACGCTACTTTGTTGCATCACCCTTTCCTCTTCAAGGGAAAACCAACGCATTGCTCAAGAGGTAGCAAGAAGGATTTCTGGCGCCGTTGCCGGGGAGGTCTACGCAAAAGTCAACACACCAAGTACCCATCACAAACCCTTATCTCCCACATTACATTATTTGTCATTTGCCTCTTGTTTTCCCCTCCCGCACTTCACCCTTGCCGTTTTATTCGCCCTTCTTCTGTTCGTCTTTCCATTTGCTTTGATGTCTTACTTGGCTCGTTTGCTCGTTTGGTTGGAATAGTTGTTTATTTATTGCTAAACAGGGAACCTAAGATCTATGGATCCTCACCCGCTTGCTAATCTTTTTAAGAGATCCAATTATAATGAACCAATTGTTAGTGAGTTTTGTGCACTAGATTATCTTTATGAAGTTTTGCTTGAAATTCGTGAATCTGAAAATTGTGATGAAGTACTTTATGAAGTGATTTACGATGGATCTTTTAATAGAAAGCATGATTGCAATGATGATAGTATAAATTCTATTAATGTCAACTATGCCTATAATATGCAAAACCCTAAGCTTGGGGATGCTATTTTTGCTATGACTACTATTTGTTGCAATGATCATGATTGGGGTGATTCTTCTTATGATCTTGAAAATTTATTTAAGCCCCATGATGAATATGAGATTGATAATAATGTTTGCAATAATATTGAAAGTGGGTTTGAAAGAGTGTTAACTTTAGATCCCACATATTTGGAGAATGTTCAATCATATGAAGTTTTTGATAAAAGTGGGTTTGGAGAGGTCATGACTTTAGTTAATGTTAATCCCACTATTTTGGAAGAGTGTCAACTTTGCATACATGTGGATCGTGTTAAGAATATGTTTTATGATAGCTATATTGTTGAATTTTCTTATGATCCTACATGTAATTATTATGAGAGAGGAAAATATGGTTGTAGAAATTTTCATGTTACTAAATTACCTCTCGTTATGTTGAGATTGCTATTGTTTCTTTCCGCTTCCTTGCATATGCTAGTTTTTGCTTGCCTTGATAATTTGTTTGCCTATAAGATGCCTATGCATAGGAAGTATGCTAGACTTAGATGTGTTTGTCACGTGTTTCATGATGCTCTCTTTGTGCTTCAATTCTTGTCTTTCATGTGAGCATCGTTGAAATCTTATGCCTAGCTAAAAGGCTTTAAAGGAAAGCGCTTATTGGGAGACAACCCAATATTTTTCCTTGCTGTTATTTAATAAATAATTCATCTAGCCTATGTTTATATGTGGTTTAATGCTTTTAATTAGTGTTTGTGCCAAGTAGAACCTTTGGGAAGACATGGGGAAAGTCTTTGCGATCTTACTGTAAAAAACAGAAACTTTAGCGCTCACGAGAATTGCTGCCATTTTTATTTGGAAAGTGATATTTAGTTAATTCATTTTGCAGATGATTAATAGATAAATTGCTCATGTCCAGCAATTTATTTTAGAATTTTTGGGGTTCCATATCTTGCGTTAGTTGTAGATTAATAGAGACTATTCTGTTTTTGACAGATTCTGTTTTTCATGTGTTGTTTGCTTATTTTAATGAATCTATGGCTAGTAAAATAGTTTATAAACCATAGAGAAGTTGGAATACAGTAGATTTAACACCAACATAAATAAAGAATGAGTTCATTATAGTACCTTGAAGTGGTGTTTTGTTTTCTTTCGCTAACGGAGCTCACGAGATTTTCTACTTTAAGTTTTGTGTTGTGAAGTTTTCAAGTTTTGGGTGAAAGATTTGATGGATTATCGAACAAGGAGTGGAAAGAGCCTAAGCTTGGGGATGCCCATGGCACCCCAAGATAATCTAAGGACACCTAAAAGCTAAAGCTTGGGGATGCCCCAGAAGGCATCCCCTCCTTCATCTACTTCCATCGGTAACTTTACTTGGAGCTATTTTTTATTCACCACATGATATGTGTTTTGCTTGGAGCGTCTTGTATGATTTGAGTCTTTGCTTTTTAGTTTACCACAATCATCCTTGTTGTACACACCTTTTGAGAGACACAAACATGATTCAGAAATTATTAGAATACTCTATGTGCTTCACTTATATCTTTTGAGATATATAGTTTTTGCTCTAGTACTTCACTTATATCTTTTAGAGCACGGTGGTGGTTTTGTTTTATAGAAACTATCGTTCTCTCATGCTTCACTTAGTTTATTTGGGAGTCTTAAATAGCATGGTAATTTACTTAAATAATCCTAATATGCTAAGTATTCAAGACTAGTAAAAACTTTCTTATGAGTGTGTTGAATACTAAGAGAAGTTTGATGCTTGATGATTGTTTTGAGACATGGAGGTAGTGATATCAAAGTTGTGCTAGTTGAGTAGTGGTGTTTTGT